CTTCCAAGTAGCCGGAATTATAGGCATGCGCTACCACGCCCAGCTGATTTTTTGATTTAGTGTAGAGATGAGGTCTCGCCGCCCAGGCGGGTCTCGCACCCGCGGGATCGGGCAATCCCTCACCTCAGCCTCCCAAAGGCGCGGGATTACAGGCTGAGTCACCGAGCCCGGCTGAGCTGTGCAAGTTTTAACCCTGTCATCTTCATCACCCAAGTCTACACTCCCATCTTGTGGTAGAGTCCAGATGCTAGAAATTCTGTTAACTATGCATGATACATAAGGATTGGCCCTGAACGTTACAGGAGCCCGTAGGAGGGGCACCAAATTCAAGGAAAGGAAATGGAAACGGAGTGTGTCAGGAACGTTAGGAGTATGAGGCCTGTTCTGGACGAGAAAGTCCCATAAGCTCGGTTCTGACGAAGCAGGTAGAGGGAAGACGAAAGTAGGAACATGAGTAAAAGATCAAGAGCAGTCGGCACAACAGCATTCATGCAGTTCAGGGTGGTTGGATCCTGCAGTCGGACGGGGCGCGGCGGAGAATGAATGGGGCTGAGGATGGTTCTGCACGTAATTCTCCAAGAAATGTCACTGTCTGGGCAAGACTCCTGGAAGACACACAGGCAGAGCCGGTTCGCTACAGGGCTTAGAAGGAACTTGCAGGCGCGAGTCAGTCTGCGCAGTAAAGGACAAATATGAAGTGGGCAAGGAAGCACTTAGCAGTCGCGTCTCGCCACCAAGTTCACGGGTTAGGTGTGGAAGCGCAAAGGCTGCCGGGCGTAGCTGGTCGACGCGCCAAAGGCTCCCACCTCCGGCGTCCTCCGTTGCTAGGGTGACCGGAAGCGCATTCTGAAGCCCCGCCCAGCAACCATAGAGTGCCGGAAGAAGGCTGGGCAGGAGAGTCTGAAGGGGACGCGTCGGTGTCGCGGTGTGGGTGGTGCTGAGATGACTACCTTAGTGCTGGATAACGGAGCTTACAACGCCAAAATCGGCTACAGCCACGAGAATGTCTCGTAAGTGTTACTTCCTCCGAGGGACAGGTACGCGCGCCTCCGGACGCTCAGCCGGGGAGCGGCGGGGGGCGGGACAGCCGCGGGCCGACTGGCGTTGAGCACGGTTTGGTTTCCGCCCGGCCCCGGAAGTGGGCTGTGCGTCTCGCTTCGTAGCGGGAACCTAAGCTTCGGGGGACGCGTTCCGGTCGGGAGGGCGGGTGGCCCAGCTCGTTAACCTTAAGCAGCTGTGGGCGGCGCGTCGGCGCGTGGGTATTCTCCTCCGGGCGCGTTTTCATTAGAGCCTCGAAGGGTTCCGCGAGCCGCAGAAGTCTAAAGCCGCTGTCTTAGGCCCTCGTCGGCCGCTTAAACCCAAATACCTAATGGCCTGCCCCACGTGTGTGGTCTCAAAGCGTATGAATACGTGAGGAATTTAAGGGCACGCCTCTCCTCTGTCAGATTCACAGGATTGTTTTCCCTTTTCTTCCTCGTAAAGAGAGAAATCAAGTTGAGTAAGGATGTAAGCTATTAGTCTTTCTGGAAAACATCTGGCAATGCTTTTATCATCGTCCGTTGTCCTTTGACGCAGCGATCGGAAGTGCTGCACGTGGTGAGAATAAGTACAGGGGTGTCTGTCGGATTCATGGACCTTGTGTAGCAAAACGCACGCGAGCGAGATAACAAGAACAGAAGATTGGCCACATCCGTCGTAACACCGCCATGAAATTGACAACAACGCGGCTTCTCAACATTGGGTCTTCAGAGAATATATAGACACGCAGGGGAAATGCTGACAGTATCTTGAGTGAGAGCTGCAGGAACACAGCATCCTTGCAGTGGTGACCCAGTGTCGCACACACATTTGGGTGCATACCTGTGTAGATTGACAGCGGCTCGCGTGTGTCTTCACAGCCAGATCTAAGACGAGCTCCTACCTCTGTACCCTGTAGCAGGGGTCCTCGGCCCGAGGCAGGGGGTGAGCAGCCGCAGTCAGGTCAGCCGTCGACATTCGATTTTCGTTTCTTGTTTTTTGAGATGGTCTCACCCTGTCGCACAGGCTGGAGTGCGGTGGCAGGTGGCCCCCACCTGCTGGGCTCAGGTGATCCTTCCGCCTCAGCCTTCCAAGTAGCTGGGATGACAGGGGCGCGCCACCACGCCCGGCAAATTTTTTGATTTTTTTGTAGAGACGAGGTCTCGCCATGTTGTCCAGGCTGGTCTCGAACCCCTGGGCTTAGGCAGTCCTCCCGCCTCGGCCTCCCAAAGTGCTGCGATTACAGGCATGAGCCACGGCACCTGGCTGGCATTAGATTCTTATGGAGCACAACCCTGTGGTGAAGGGTGCATGCGAGGGATCTAGGTTGCCTCCTTGTGAGAATCTGGTGCCTGATTATCTTCCATGAAACCGGTCCTGATGCCAAAAAGACTGGGGGCTGCTACCCTATAGCGTCTTATCAGTTGGAAATCTGCAGCTTCATGAAACTTAATTTTATGGCTAGACTTTTGAAATTGTGAATTCTTATCAGAATGGAATGAAGAGTTTCTGCATTAAAGCCAGAAGGAGTAGGGCCATTACCAAAGCCCTGGCTCTCAACTGTGTAGTGACAGAACCAGTACTCACCTGCAGGGATTTCTTGAGGACCTATGAGAAAGATAAAGTGTCCAGTGTTACAAGAAAGATAAAGGCCCTGTTACATACTAAACATAAAGAGGGCATTTGTGTATTATTGGAATACAGGATTAGAAACACTGGTTATGAATGTACTAATCTTTTGGCAATAGGGGTGGTGTTTCAGTAAAGGTGTTTTTAGCAACTAAATATTTAGTTATATTTACTATATTATTTGTTTCTAGGGTTATTCCTAACTGTCAGTTCAGGTCAAAAACAGCACGTCTTAAAACTTTTACTGCTAACCAGATAGATGAAATAAAAGACCCTTCTGGACTCTTTTACATCCTTCCTTTTCAAAAGGTAACTCGTTTGTGTGTCATTTCTAGCATTGTAGACCTATTTTATTTTATTTTTATTTTTTATTTTTTGAGTTGGAGTCTCACTCTTGTTGCCCAGGCTGGAGTGCAGTGGCACGCTCATGTCCACTACAGCCTCAACCTGTTGGGCTTAGGTGATCCTTCTGCCTGAGCCTTCTAAGTAGCTGGAACTACAGACGTATGCCACCATGCCCAGCTAGTTTTTGTGATTTATTGTAGAGGTGAGGTCTCACCAAGTTGCCCAGGCTGATCTTGAACCCCTGGGTTCAGGTAATCCTCTCACCTCAGCCTCCCAGAGTGCTGGAATTATAGGATGAGCCACTGCGCCCAGCCTAAAGAAAAATTTTAATTTATGTATAAGGCTGTGTGTGTGTATGTATAAAATATTTTTATTTTATGTTTTTTATTTTATTTTTCTTTTTTTCAGAGTTGGGGTCTTACTCTGACGCCCACACTGGAGTGCAGTGGCCGCTCCTGGCCACTGCATCCTCAACCTGCTGGGCTCCAGTGATCCTTCCACCTCAGCCTTCCAAGTAGCTGGAACTACAGGCGCATGCTACCACGCCCGGCAAATTTTTTGATTTATAGTAGAGATGAGGTCTCACCAAGTTGCCCAGGCGGGTCTCGAACCCGCGGGCTCAGGCAATCTACTCACCTCGGCCTCCCAAAGCGTGGGATTACAGGCTGAGCCACCGAGCCCGGCCTTAATTTTTTTTTTAGTTGGATTTTTACTCCATTGCCCAGACTGGAGTGCAGTGGCACACTCATGGCCACCCCAGCGTTGACCTGCTGGGTTTTGGTGATCCTTCCACCTCAGCCCTTCAAGTAGCTGGAACTACAGGCATGCTACCACACCTGGCTAATTTTCTGATTTATTGTAGAGATGAGGTCTTGCCAAGTTGCCCGGACTGTTGTTGAACCCGTGGGCTCAGGCAATCCACCCACTTCGGCCTCCTAAAGTGCTGGGATTACAGGCTGAGCCACCGAGCCCGGCCAGGCAAAGATATTTTTATGTCTCTGAGAAAAGATGACTTAAATTTTAATAAAGATCTAATTAAAACCAAAAATTGAAAATAAATTGTTTTGGTAAAAACAGATGACTGACCGGGTATGATGGCTCACACTTATAATCTCAGCACTGAGAGAATTGCCTGAGCCCCCAGGTTTGAGCCCAGCCTGGGCTACTTGGGGAAACCTCATCTCTACAATAAATAAAAAAATTAGCCGGGCATAGTGGTACATGTGCCTGTGGTTCCAGCTATTTGGAAGGCTGAGGCTGAAGCATTGCCTGAACCTAGCAGGTCGAAGCTGTGATGACTGTGAGCGTGCCACTGCACTCCAGCCTGGGCAACAGAGTGAGACTGTGACTCAAAAAAGAAAAAGAAAATTGGTATAGAGAGGCATCTCTATATACTGATGTGTCTTTTAAGCCCTTGAAATTTTTAGTTACTATTTACTTGTAATTAAAAAAATATATACTAATATAACTGATTTAAAATTCATGCAGCATTTGATTGGAAAAAGTAACCATAAAGAGAAAGAAATCAGTGCTTTAGAATATATTAACCTGATATATTCAGATTCTTTTTATTTTTATTTATTTATTTTTTTTTGAGCAATAGTTTCACTCTGTCGCCCAGGCTGGAGTGCAGTGACATGCGTACTCACAGCCACCACAGCTTCAACCTACTGGGCTCTGGTAATCCTTCAGCCTCACTCTTCTAAGGAGCTGGAACTATAGGCATGCATCACCACGCCCAGCTAATTTTTTTGATTGTAGAGACAAGGTCTCGCCATGTTGCCCAGGCTGGTCTCAAACCCCTGAACTCAGGCAAACCTCTTTCCTTCGTCTCCCAAAATGCTGGGATTACAGGCATGAGCCACTGCTCCTGGCCCAAAGTTCTTGATTATTAAATTTATAATTAATGTTTTGCAGGGCTACTTGGTGAATTGGGATGTTCAAAGACAAGTTTGGGATTACCTTTTCGGAAAAGAAATGTATCAGGTAACAAATTAGAGTATGTATTCACATTCTATTTCCATGTCCTACTCAAGTGAAAAATTAGAAGTTATATTTCAAGAGTTTTAAGTCACTTTAAAATATAGCTAACGCTAGTTTTGATTTTCTAAATATTTAATGAATGCAACTGAATAGAGTGTCTATGTTTAAGCAGAGGTTGAGTAAAGATAGTCTTTATGAAACTCAAGGTTAAAATTTTACTTCAAATTTCTACTATTAGAACAATTCATTCTATCATTTTTGTTTTCACAATAAAATATTTTTGCCTACATTTTTTTTTTTGAGTTAGAGTCAATTCTGTTGCCCAGGCTGGAATGTAGTGGCACGCTCATGGCCACTGCAGTCTTGACCTGTTGGGCTCAGGCAATCCTTCTGCCTCAGCCTTCCAAGTAGTTGGAATTACAGGCGCATGCTACCATGCCTGGCTAATTTTTTTTATTATAGAGACAAGGTCTCACCAAGTTACCCAGGCTGGTCTCAAACCCCTGGGCTTAGGCAGTCCTCTTGCCTTGGCCTCCCAAAGTGCTGAGATTACAGGGTTGAGCAACCGCGCCCAGCCTGCATACATATTTTAATGTGTGAAAACTATAAGATAATTTTGTGCTTTTCCCTATGGCTATATGTATAATGAGAGAATGTTCAAGTTTTAATACTCCTCAAGAATATGTGGGAGAGAATTACATAAAATTGAATATCTTTTTTTTTTTTTTGAGTTGGAGTCTCTCTTATGTCGCCCAAGCTGGAGTGCAGTGGCACGCTCCCGGCCATCGCAGCCTCGACCTGCTGGGCTCAGGCGATCCTCCACCTCAGCCATCCAAGTATCTGGAACTACGTACACTACCAGGCCCAGCTAATATTTTATTTATTGTAGAGACGAGGTTGCCCAGGCTGGTCTCGAACCCATGGGCTCAGACAATCCTATCACCTCGGCCTCCCAAAGTGCTGGGATTACAGACTTGAGCCACTGTGCCCGGTCAAAATTGAATATCTTGAAGCCCTTTTACTTTTATTTATTTGTTTTTGTTTCCTTATTTTATCATTTTTTGTTTTGTTTTCGCTTTTGCCCTTTCTGAAGCATAACAACAGCCTCAGTACTTATAATCATCATTAATTACTTTTGCATAATTGTCTTTAAACAGTTTGATAGTAACACTTTTTTTTGAGTCTGGGGTCTCTGCTGCCCCAGTTAGAGTACAGTGGCACGATTATGGCCACCACAGCCTCGACCTGCTGGGCTCAGACACTGTGCACAGGACAGTCCCCAACAACAAGGAGTTAGGTTACCCAAAATGTCAGTAGTTCAAGAGTTGAGAAACCCTCTTCCAAAGCCGCCCTACCTAAGTTGGCATCCTGGCTCTGCTCTGTCCTAATTGTGTGACTCTGCATGCCTTACTTCCGCCTTAGTCTTCCAAGTAGCTGGGACAACAGGCGCGTGCCACCATGCCTGGCTAATCTTTTGCTTTATTGTAGAGATGAGGTCTCGCCTAGTTACCCAGGCTGGTCTCGAACTCCTGGGCTCAGGCAGTCCTCTCGCCTTGGCCTTCCAAGGTCCTGGGATTATAGGTATGAGCCACCGTGCCGGGCCGACAGGAACATTTTATTAATGCTTTTCATATACTATAAATTAATAAGGCATGCTAATTTAAAAGAGGTAAACTTGCATAATAGTTAAGTGTATGGATTCTATAACCAAACTCTGTGGGTTCAAATCCTAGCTATGTCACTAAGTGGCTGCCAGAACCTGGGTAATTTATTCAGCTTTTCCATGTTTCTATTTGTTCATCTATTAACTGGGGGTAATGATGAGACTTATCTCATGAGGGTTGTTGTGAGGGTTGAATAATTTTGATCGTATATGTAAACAAGTATTGATAATTATCACTACAAATTATAAAACTTTTTGGAATTTTCTTCCCTCATAGGTTGATTTTTTAGACACTAATATTATTATCACAGAACCATATTTTAACTTCACTTCAATTCAAGAATCAATGAATGAAATTCTATTTGAAGAATACCAGTTCCAAGCAGTATTAAGGGTAAATGGTGAGTTAAAGTTTTCATTGACCTCGAGTTATGTGAATATGGACATGACAGGGTAAAAAAATTCTTTAAGGCTGGCTGTGGTGGCTCACACCTTTATTATTTATTTATTTATTTAGAGTCAGAGTCTCAGTCTTGTCACCCAGGCTGGAGGGCAGTGGCACGCTCCTGGCCACCGCAGCCTTAACTGCTGGGCTCAGGCAATCCTTCCTCCTCAGTCTTCCAAGTAGCTCGACCTACAGGCACATGCCACCAAGCCTGGCTAATTTTTTGATTTATTGTAGAGATGAGATCTGGCCAAGTTGCCCAGGCTAGTCTCCAACCCGAGGGCTCAGGCAGTCTTCTCACCTTGGCCTCCCAAAGTGCTGGGATTATAGGCGTGAGCCACCATACCCAGCCAGCCCAGGCTCACACCTGAAATCCCAGCACTCTGAGAGGCCCAGGTGAGAGGATTGCTTGAGCCCAGGAGTTCAACACCAGCTCAGGCAACATATCAGACCTTGTCTCTAAAAAATGAAAAAGCAAAAATGAGCTGGGCCTGGTGGTGTGTACATGTATTCCCAGCTATTTGGGAGGCTGAGGTGGAAGGATCACTTGAGCCCAGGACATTGAAGCTGGTTGAGGCTATGGGGTAAGCTGTGCCACTGCACTCGAGCCTGGGTGACAGAGTGAGACCCAGACTGAAAGAATAGAAAAGAAAAGAAGCTCTTAGAATCCCAGAATACTAAATGGCATTCTTTAGATCTGAAAGAAAGAAAACTCAGAATTTTAAAACTAAATGGACTCTGAGATTAGTCAAACCTCTCTCAGTTTATCTTTTTACTAGTAAGATACAGTTCTCTAACGAAGTTATTTGCCCAATATTCGTAATCTCTGGAAGATTATTCTGAGGTAGTTAGCTTTTCTGTCATTGAATGTGTTTGTGAAATATAATGTTTTTGACATTATTATTATTGTTTGAAATGTTAGTAGCTCAGGCTGCCAAAGTGATGGGAAATAGTCTGTAAATATCATCAAGAAGCATGTTGATTGCAAGCTAGGATTACATTAAATGATTGTGTATAGTAAAAGTATTTAAATATTTAGCTTGCAGAATTTTTTTTTAATATATTTTTTTATTTTAAAATTATGGGGTACAGTTAAGGGCTGGGTATACAAATATGCATTGTGCGGGTACCCTTGTTGATGAGGTGTGCCCCCCCTTCCCCAGACAGATATTGACTACCATTAATCCCACCTCCCTTCCCCTCCCTGCACCCCCATAGTTTCCTGCCACTGTCAATCCTTTTCTTATAGTATTACGGTAGTTGTTCAAGGTCCACTTCTGAGTGAGAACATGTGATGCTCAGATCTTTGTTTCTGTGAGAGATCACTCCGTATTATAGACTCTAATTCCATCCAGATTGCTGCGAAATTCATGATTTTGTTCTTTTTTAGGGCTGCGTAATATTCCATTGTGTATATGTACCACATTTTTTTTAATCCAGTCCTCTTTTGATGGACAGTATGGTTGGTTCCCTGATCTTGCTATTGTGAACAATGCTGCGATAAACATATGTGTGCAGATATCTTTTTTATAGAGTGATTTGAGTTCTTCCCAGTATATTCCCAGTAGGGGGATTGCAGGGTCATATGGAAGGTCGATTTTTAGAGCTTTTAGGATTCGTTACACTGATTTCCACAGAGGCTGTACTAGTTTATACTCCCACCAACAATGTAGAAGTGTTCCCTTTTCGTCACATCCTCTCCAGCATCTGTTATTTTTGAGTTATTGATAATGGCCATTCTGACTGGATTTAGGTCGTATCTCAGTGTAGTTTTAATTTGCATCTCCCTGATGACTAGTGAGGCTGAACATTTTTTCATGTATCTGTTGGCCGCTTGTATGTCTTCTTTTGAGAAGTGTCTGTTCACATCTTTTGCCCACTTGTAATGGGGTTGTTGGTTTTTTTCTTTTCAGCATGTTTGAGTTCCTTGTAGACCCTAGATGTTAAGCCTTTGTCAGACATGGAGTTGGCAAATACTTTTTCCCAGTCTGTGGGTTGTTTCCCTGCTCTCTTGATGGTTTCTCTGGCTTTGCAGAAGCTTGTCAGTTTAATGAGGTCCCACTTGTCTATCTTATTTCTTATGGCCTGTGCGTGTCGGGTTTTGCTCAGGAATTGGATGCCAGTTCCAACTTCCATAAGGGTTAGGGTTAGGGTTAGGGTTTATTTTATTTATTTTTTTTAGTTTGGATCTCACTCTCATCAGGCTGGAGTGCAGTGGTGTGACTGCAGCTCACTGCAGCCTCAAACTCCTGAACTCAAGCCATTCTCCTGACTCAGCCCTCTGAGTAGCTGGGGCTACAGGCATGCGCCATCATATATTTTTTTTTAAGAGATGAGTCATTGCTGTGTTACCCTGGCTGGTCTTGAACTTCAGGGCTCAAGCAGTCCTCCCAACTTGGCCTCCTAAAGTGCTGGGATTATAGGCGTGAGCCACTGTCGCGGGCCTAGCTTACAGAATTTAAGTCTATATAAAGCAGTAGTGTACTGTAATGGTTGAGAGTACAATCTGCAGACATGTTTTCAACCAAGGGTGATTTTGCTCCCCAAGGGTCATTCAACAATATTTGGAGACTTTTTTTTGGTTGTCAAAACTGGGAAGGTGCTGCTGGCATCTAGTGGGTGGAGGCCAAGGTGCTGCTAAACAGTCTACAATGCACAGGACAGTCCCCAACAACAAGGAGTTATGCCACCCACAATGTCGGTAGTTCCAGGGTTGAGAAACCTTCTCTTCCAAAGCCACCCTGCCTAAGTTGGAATCCTGGCTCTGCTGTGTCCTGATTGTGGGACTCTGCGTGAATTCCTTCTCTGTGCTTCAGGTTCCTCATCTGTAAATTGGGATTGTTGCACCCACACTCATTATACAGAGATTAGAATAGAGCACAGCACATTACAAATGCTCAGTAAAAATTAGTTGCTGTTGCAATAGTTATCATAAGCCACGAAATAATTATTTACCTTTAAAACTGATTAAAAGGAACATTTTTGTCTTTGTGCTTACCTTAGTTTTCTATGTTTTATATTGCTTTAGTGTTATACTTTTATTTAATATGTTCTTTCTTCTTTATGTTTTTTGATAGCTGGGGCTCTCAGTGCACATCGGTATTTCCGTGATAATCCTTCTGAGTTATGCTGTATCATTGTAGATAGTGGATATTCCTTTACACATATAGTTCCTTACTGTAGAAGTAAAAAGAAAAAGGAAGCAATTATTCGGTGAGTTGCACTTAGTTTTCCTATTATTTCTTAGAATGAAACTCAATTAAATGTGCGATGAATGAGCCAAATTTGAATTCTCCCCTTTTAGGATAAATGTGGGAGGAAAACTCTTAACCAATCATCTAAAGGAGATCATATCTTACAGGTAATATTTATCTTTGATTCTTTGGGAGGGTGGAGCACTGGAGATACACTTTTTAAAGTAATTGAAAAAATTTTTTTAACCTTTATTCGTCCCTGTAGGTAGCAATTCTATATTATTACTTAAAAAACTGTATCAAGGCCGGATGTGGTGGCTCAGGCCTGTAATCCCAGCACTTTGGGAGGCTGAGGTGAGAGGATTGCCTAAGCTCAGGGGTTCGAGACCAGCTTGGGCAACTTGGTGAGGCCACCTCAATACAAAAAAAAAAAAAATAAGCCAGGTGTGGTAGCGCATGCCTGTAGTTCTAGTTACTTGGGGGACTGAGGCAGAAGGATCATCTGAGCCTAGCAGGTCTAGGCTGAGGTGTCCATGAACATGCCACTGCACTCTACCCTGGGCAACAGAGTGAGACTCCAACTCAAAAAAAAAAAAATGGTATCATATATATAAATACTAATGATGTTGAAATTTGGAATGTTTTCTAGCACATAAAATGTAGTGTTCACCAAGAAGATAATTCTAAATTCTAGGGAGTTTAATATATTATAAATAATATTTTAATATTGTAAATGTTGTACATGAACATGGTAATTTATGCTTCTATTTTAGATTTTTTTTTTTGAGTTGGAGTCTTACTTCGTTGCCCAGGCTGGAGTGCAGTGGTACACTCACCGTCACCCCAGCGTTGACCTGCTGGGCTCAGGCAATCCTTCCGCCTCAGCTTTCCAAGTAGCTGAAACTACAGGTGTGTGCTACCATGCCTGGCTAATTTTTTTATTTATTGTAGAGGTGAGGTCTCTCCAAGTTGTCCAGGCTGTTCTCAAACCTGTGAGCTCAGGCAGTCCCCTTACCTCGGCCTCCCAAAGTGCTGGAATTCAGGCTTGAGCCATTGCGCCCAGCCTATTTGTAGATTTACTGCGTTTAGTAGCATAAATATTTTTTTTTGTTTTTTTTGAGTTGGAGTCTCACTCTGTCACCCAGGTTGGAGGGTAATGGCATGCTCCTGGCCGGCCACTGCAGCCTCGACCTACTGGGCTCCAGTGATCCTTCTGCCTCAGCCTTCCTAGAAGCTGGAACTACAGGCATGCACTGCCACGCCTGGCTAATTTTTGGTTTATTATAGAGACGAGATCTCGCCAGGTTGCTCGGGTGGGTCTCGAAACCGTGGGCTCAGGCAATCCTCTCGACTTGGCTTCCCAAAGTGCTGAGATTACAGGCTGAGCCACCGAGCCTGGCCAACATAAGTATTCTTGCAGGTGTTTTCTAACTAACAAACACAAACAATTCCACACTCTCATTTTCTTGCTATGTTAACTTTGGCTGCTATGAATCTGTCAGTATTTTTGTTCTCCTTTATGCTATATGAGAAAATAAGTGGCTCTATATTTCCTTATACCTTTTCTCTCTTCTTTTTTTCTTCTGTCAGATGTACCATTATTATTTTTTTTATTACTTTTTTTGTAGAGAGGGAGCCTGGTTATGTTGTGCAGCCTGATCTCAAACTCCTGGGCTCAAGCAGTCCTCCCACCTTGGACTCTAAAGTGTTGGTTTACATGTATGGGCCATCATGTCTGGCCTATTACTCTTTGTTTTTTTGAGTCAGAGTCACACTCTGTCATCACGCTGGAGTGCAGTGGTATGCTCAAGTCCACCACAGCCTTGACCTGCTAGGCGCAGGTGATCCTTCTGCCTCAACCTTCCAAGTAGCTGGAACTACAGGTGTGCACCACCATGCTCAGCTAATTTTTTTTTTTTTAGGGTCGGAGTCTTACTCTGTCACCCAGACTGGAGTGCAGTGGCCACTCCCGGCCACTGCAGCCTCAACCTCCTGGACTCTGGCGATCCTTCCGCCTCAGCCTTCCAAGTAGCTGGAACTACAGGCGCACGCTACCACGCCCGGCTGATTTTTTGATTTATTGTAGAGATGAGGTCTCGCTGCCCAGGCGGGTCTCGAACCCGCGGGCTCAGGCAATTCACTCACCTCAGCCTCCCAAGGCACGGGAATACAGGCTGAGCCACCAAGCCTGGCACTAATTTTTTAAAAAAATTTATTATAGAGACAAGGTCTCACCAAATTGCCCAGGCTGGTCTCGAACCCTTGGGCTCAGGCAGTCCTCTTGCCTCTGCCTCTCAAGTGCTAGGGATCCAGGTGCTGGGATTACAGGCATGAGCCACTGTGTCTGGCCTACTTTTTTTGTTTTTTAACAACTTTACTGAGATTTAATTCACATACCATATAATTCACTCACTTAAAGTGTATCATTTTAGTGACTTTTAGTAGAACATTTTCATTAAAAAAGAAACCGATAGCCCTTAGCTATCACCTCTTGCTTTAGTACTTTTTTTTTTTTTTTAATTTGAGTTGGAGTCTCACTCTGTCGCCCAGGCTGGAGTGCAGTGGCACGCTCACAGCCACCCCAGCATCAACCTGCTGGATTCTGGCGATCCTTCTGCCTCAGCCTTCCAAGTAGCTGGAACTACAGGTACATGCTACCATGCCCAGCTAATTTTTCTGGTTTGTTGTAGGGATGAGGTCTTGCCAAGTTGCCTGGGCTGGTCTCGAATCCGCGGGCTCTGGCAATCCACTTGCCTCGGCCCTCAAAGTGCTGGGATTACAGGCTGAGCCACTGAGCCTGGCCAGCTTTAGTTTTTATTTTTTAGCTTTTATTTTTAAAAAGTTTGTTTGAAATAATTATGTACTGAATAATTACAAAAATAGCACATAGTCCTGTGTACCCTTAATGACATCTTTTTTTTTTTTTTTTTTTGAGTAGGAGTCACACTCTGTCACCCAGGCTGGAGGGCTGTGGCATGCTCACGGCCACTGCACCCTCAACCTGCTGAGCTCAGATGATCCTTCTACCTCAGCCTTCCAAGTAGCTGGAACTACAGGTGCATGCCACCATGCCTGACTAGTTTTTGATTTATTGTAGAGATGAGGTCTCGCCAAGTTGCCCAGGCTGGTCTCGAATTCGTGGGCTCAGGCAGTCCTCTCCCCTTGGTCTCCCAGGGATGGGATTATAGGCATCAGCCACCGTGCCAGGCCAACGATGTCTTATATAACTATAGTATAATATCAGAACAGTGATTTGACATTAATACAATACTGTTGACTACAAATCACCTTTCATTTTCACCATAGTTTACTTGCATTCATTTGTGTAGAAGTATACACAGTTCAGTGCATTTTTATCCCACTCTGAGATGTGTGTAATCACCACCACAATAAAGATATAGACTGTTTCAACACCACAGTGTAGCTTTTTTGTACCATACCTTTATATTTGCTCCCTCTCCTGACCATGTAACCACCACCCCCATCTGTTTTCTTTCTTTCTTTAATTTTGTTACTTAAAGAATGTTACAGTTTCACATAACTAGAAGCAGGATATTGAATGCTTCCAACACAAAGAAATGATCAATGTTTGAGATGATGGAAGTGCTGATTACTCTGCTCTAATTACATGTATCAAAACATCACTATGGGGCTGGGCACGGCGGCTCACGCCTATAATCCCAGCACTTTGGGAGGTCAAGGTGAGAGGATTGCCTGAGCCCATAGGTTTGAGCCCAGCCTGGGCAACTTGGTGAGCCCTCATCTCTACAATAAATCAAAAAATTAACTGGGTGTGGTGGTGCGAGCCTGTAGTTTGAGCTACTTGGAAGGCTGAGGCAGAAGGATCGCCAGAGCACAGCAGGTCGACGCTGGGGTGGCCGTGAGTGTGCCACTGCACTCCAGCCTGGGCTACAGAGTGAGACTCTGACTCAAAAAAGTAAAAAAACTTCTGCGTATTCCGTAAATAATTGTTACCAGTTTAAAAAGTTAAAAATACACATTTTTTAAAAAGCTGGTGGGAGGATGAACATTGGCCAGGTAACTCTTAAGTCATTTTTAACAGTTTTTACCTTAAAAATAATTAACAGAACAACAGGAAAGAATGTTACAGAAACAGAATCATATAGTATGTAATCTTTAGAGAGTGACTTTTTTTTTTTGAGTCGGAGTCTCACTCTGTCGCCCAGGCTGGAGTGCAGTGGCACGC